TGAACTGACGGACCTATGTAGCCAGCATATCATAGCTGTGAGGATCCACGGAGGCAGTGACAGGGAGTCGATAACAGCGGTATCGGCATATTTTAAGTACAACATGCCGACACCCTGGTTCACGGACAAGCTACGGGTAGTCTTAGACCGTGAGACACGCACCATCATTGGTGCAGATGTCAATGGACATTCCCAGTTGTGGCATTGTCTTGATCGCAATGCAAGGGGCCTTATAGTTGAAGAACTAGTAGAGGATTACGACCTCGCGGTGGCAAACCGGCCGGGAAATTTACCCACCTATGACCGGGAAGGCATGGGTTCATCGAACGTTGACGTGACGTTACTAACGCCGCAGGTCCGCGACCTGTTGAGCGAGTGGACAGTCTTTGATGTAACCGACAGCGACCACAATGTAATAACTTATAGTCTGAGTTTTCGCGACAGAGGTGCGCGGCCCCCGATACCGTACAACTACAACACCAGGAAGGCAAACTGGGAGGGGTTCACCCGCAATCTGCTATAACACTATAATCGCGGCTATACAGCGTGCGGCGGATGAAAGTATTCCGCGGAAAAGCAAATGACCCGCGCGGGAAAACAGCCCTGGTGGAACAACGAGCTAATGGTGCTGAAAAGGGACCTTGATAGCAAGAGGCGGCAAGGTCTTCACCGATCAGATAGGCCAACATACAATTCGGCAAAGAACAAGTACCTCAGCGAAGTAAGAGTAGCTAAGGCGAGGACTTGGAGAAATTTCGCAAACGATTTGAATGAAAATAAATGGGGCAAAGCTTTCTGCTGGGCAAAACGGGGCACTAAGGCCCGGACGATGCCCTCGTCTTTGAAACGTGATGATGGTACGTGCACGGGGAGCCTCAGCGAAACGGCTGGTCTGCTGCTGGGTTCTTTCTTTCCAGTAGAAAACCAAGGCAGAAATTTTCACAAGAACGGACCGCTTACTGCATATGGTAATGCCATTGACGCAGAGCGAGTTAAGGCAGCCATCTGGCACATGAAGCCTAATAAAGCACCGGGCAAAGATGGCCTAACAGCGGGGATACTAAGGAAAGCTTGGCCGGTTCTCTTTCATGAGATCACTACTCTGTTTGGGATGTGTATGGAAGAGGCCACCTTCCCACGGTCGTGGAAGGACGCCAAGCTTGTGGTGCTACCTAAGCCAGGCAAGACAGATATGATGAGTCCCAAGTCTTACAGGCCAGTCTGTTTGCTGCCGACGTTGGCAAAGGCGTTAGAGACGTTGATTATCCAAGACATGGTTGCAGAAACGAGTCTTAACGACTATGGAGCCCAGCATGGCTTCGTACCGGGAAAGTCAACGATAACGGCTATAAGGGCGATGTACAATTGGGTTGATGACACGAAGTCAAGGCACGTCATAGGGGTGTTCCTAGATATAGCCGGGGCCTTTGACAACGTCGGATGGTACCCGGTGTTATCTAGGCTGGACAGATTAGGCGCCTCCATAAGAACGACCAGAATGGTACAGAGCTATCTCAGGGACCGAACGGCAACTCTGACGCTGGAAGGTGAGCGTTACGCCGTGTCCTACGTAAATACGGCAAATCCGATAATCGCAATACGATGCGACCGATCCGATACGATTTCGTCATTCGATATTGCGGCGATCGGACACGTGGCAAACGTGAGATCGCATTAACGGACAATAGTCGTGCGACGGTTTTGTAGGTAGAWGGAACWTTGTACATGCTAATATTCGTTTAAAAACATTAATCATGCCTTTAACCACACTACAAAACAAAATGCTTCTGACTGAAAATTCGGTACTTAAGTATTTATTATATAAAAGGTAAGTTATAAATTTAATTAAATAATGGTAAATTATTAATAATTATAAGTGAATTTATAAATATGTAGGTACAAAAAAATTAAAAAATCGT